TGTCAGATCCAGGCCAAGGGATCTTCTGGCGCTTCTGTGGACTCGAAGTGATCTGTGGATGAGACCTGGCTTCCAGTGAAGGATGCTCCAAAGACCACGATTCCTATATAGCTGTTGGGGGTGTCCGGCTCGGCCTGTGAGACGAAGGGCTAAGGCTGGCACGCGCCTGATGTTGAGGGACTAAAAGGGCCTCTCCGTGCGGAGGACTCGGAGGACTCTATACTTACATCTGTCCTCTCTATCATGTTTCAATGTTGTGTCGTAGCCGAAAGAGAGTGTGAAGGCCACTTCGCAATCGAACCTGGTGCTTCTTCTCGCGTGCTCCTCGAAAAGCTGGCGGCTCCAGATGCGACGTGCGCTAAACGAGAAGCACATGCCTGTGCTGCATATGCCTTTACGTGCAAGGACGCCCGGCAGCCGAGAGCCAACGGACAGGGTTGTGTCAGGTCTGAAACGCCGCAGATCCCATTGAGAACACCCTGGCCCGCTGCACGGCCGAAGCTGCGCTAGAGCCGGCAATGTGGGTGAGACTGTGCAGGCAAACCCGGGCAAGCCCGTCCCTCCTTCTGGCCCCGTTTGGCCTGCTTGTCCCCGTTCGTCCGTTTGCCGTGCCTCAGTATTCGGGGCTGAACACAGACAGCAGCTGAGGCGATGGCCTTTGCGAAGCCGAATGGCCGGCAGCGGAAACTTTCCCTCTAACGAAACCCTAAGCCATCCAAGAAACCCTTGCGGGGCAGCAGCCGCCTTGTCTCGCATGGCCTGGTAGACTACATCCTCGGCAAGCCGTCCCTTTGTTGGGCCACACCATAATGGGAACTTAGGCTTGCCACCCATCACAGTTGTCAGTTTCGGTCCCGCGCAGCCCTTCTTGTGCCCCCTGCATGTGACGTTGAAGCCATGATGTTCAAAGACCAGGCCTGCAGGTCTTGTTCGGCAGAAGGAAGCTGGCAAAAGGTTTTGCGGCTGTAGATTGTAGTCTTGGGGTTCAACCGTTGCCTATGAACATTCGGAGATGTTGTCATCACATTTGTGCTGATTGCCTACGTGGGCCAGCTGTTTCCACGTGCTGCGGAGGCATGACGTGTGCTCAGCCCCGCTTCCGGCCATCGGCAAAAGCCCGGCTCGTGCTGCGAAGGTCCTCGTGCCCCGCGTTCAGAGCCAACCCGCACCTTCGTCTTGACAGGTCATCGGGCACCACAGCAGTGCAAACTTCTGCTTTCCTGAGCAGGATAGCTCACCCACGTCGTGTTTTGCTGCTTGTGCCAGCTGCGCATGCACTTTCCGACACCTGCTGATTGTTTACTTACAGCCAAAGCCACTTCTGGCCGTCGGTCAGCCAAGTGGATCAGCAAAGAGCTCAAACCCCGGAAGGCCTGCAATTATGTAAGCACTAGCAGGTGTCCGTCGGTATGAGCTCCATGCAAGCTTCACGCAGTACTGGCACAGTGAAGGTTTGCTTCGCCTGGCAGGCTCGGCTCCACACATGCTTCCTTGACAGGTGGAACCTGTTCATCTCGAACCTGTTCATCTCCTTGCTGGCGTCTGTGCTTTCTCGCTCCCTGTGCCTCCTGCTTCCAAAGCCATGACGCACACCTAGGAGATGATGTCAAAGGTTAGTGTTTGCAGTGTGTAGAGCAATCGCAAACTGCCACTGCGCGCAGCACGTAGGCCTAAGGACGAGCCGCCGCTCAGCAATTTCAGGCTGCCAGGACTTCACCTGCAAGCATGCAAGCGCCTCACTCGAGTAGTGCTAGGACTTGCCTGTGCTCCAGAAGGTGTTGACGCACAGTTATGGGATCAGTCACAGCGCCGGGCATAGCTTCGGTCTCTGTCGACACCCTGGACACTTCGGATACTCCGGATACTCGTTTCCATCAGTTCTCTCTCGTTACCCGACGGCTCCCCGCCCCAACTTCTTCGACTCTGTCTCGATGTCTTTGCCTTCAAGGAAGAAGCTTGGAGACCGGGACAAGTGCTCGAGTCGCTTCACCCACTTGGCTGACTACATCTCTGAACACGGTTTTGTGTTCCTGTCCGTTGCGGCTTAACGGCTCATGCGTGAACTTCCTACATCAATCATGGGGCTCTGCTTAGATACGGAACTTGCAGGTTGATGGATTTACAGGTTTTCATGTATGCATACATACATTGCCGTGGTTTCGGTGCGGAGCCACCACCGGACACGACGACCACACCACGGCAGCAAGATGCGTCAGCCGGCACCGACAGACTCCGACCTTCCACGCCTGCTAGGTTCATAGCGGTGCTTGCGGTTCTCGCTCACAGCATGTGGTCTGGGGAGGCAGCGCCGATGCCGCTGATGCCGGTGGGCCACGAGATCGAGGCGGACCTGTGCGACTCTGACGCTTGTCACACGTGCCACCTCTTGTCAGTGAATGTGGTGCCCGCAGCTTTGGCCGCGTGCTTCGGTGCAGCATGAGCATGCGTGTGACTTATGCGCCACGAAGAGTCTCGACTCTTCGTGCTATTCGCCCTACCAAAAACAAGCCCGGCGCTACCTCGCTGCGCCACTGATTGGGATGATCGGGCTGCTGACAGCCCTGTGGACTTCAGTCCCGTGTGCCAGCCGAGCTTGTGAGTTCGGTGGAATCTGTGTGTCTCGGCCTCCTCACCTGAGCTCAAGCGAAGAGGCTCCTGCTTTCCTGGCCAGCTCAGCCTAGACAGCACTAGCGGCTCCCTCACATTGCGACCCAAAAGGGGGCCTGAAAGCAGAAGCTTCCAAGCAGGTGCCCTTCTCCAAGCTTGTGCCTGCGCTTATTTGCAAGACGACAGAGGCGATGCCTGGCAGCTACCGCAGATGGATGTGTCGATTTGCTGATCCATGGCCATTGTGACCAAGCCAAACTGATTCTGAAGAGCCACAACCCTCTCAGCAGCCTCACGACTGCACTCGTCGTCGCCAGCCGCTTATAATCCATAAAAAGCCGGCGAAGGCTTCGTGCCTTCCATCTGCATTGCCTCTATCCTCGGCACGACTTGAAGGTCGGCGTGCCACGCGAATGCGTGCCGATCATCCCACTTCCGCGCGCACTTGGCCACGGAAGTCGCGTGCCTACAGGGCCCTTCTGTCTCGCGGCTCCGGCGGTGAGAAGTTGAACTATAAGCGGCGCCTCGGCTGCAAGTATGCACGGGTCTTTCAGGCATTATGTAGGTCAGAAGCCCAGTTGAGCCGCTCTTGCCGCTCGGAGCGCACTTCGGCTGTCCCAGCTTTGTGGAAACCCGGCTCGTTCCGCGCAGCACACGGGGCCTGCTGTTGGTCGGAGAGGTGACACGCTCCCACACTCGTCGCCCCCCGCCCCTGTGCACCGCGCCCGCGTCCCTGCGCACCGCGCCCGCGTCCCGGCGCCTCCGACCTCAACAACGACGACCCCGACTGTGCAGCGCACGCGGTGGACTGCAGATTGTGGAGGTTCAGTACTGACGCCACTGCCTGAGCGGGGGTGACGCGGGGCAGCTTGCATGCACCGCGTCGCCACAGGGTTGGCCGTGTTTCTCGCTGCAGCTTACGAAAGCGCTTGCGAACACGCCTGCGAAAACGCCTGCGCCAAAGCATCATGCAGGCCCCAATCCCGATCGCCAGGTGGTGCACCTTTCGCCATCGGCACTGTTGTGTCCTCCCATGGCAGCCTCGCGGGGCCGCGGCCGGCTGCGCGGGTTTGAGAGCGCCCTTGCAGGGACCCTGGCCCTGCTGTCTCGGGCGCTTGCTGCGCTTGCACCACAGGTGCTACATGCGGTGCCTGAGGTTCCGGAGGCACCGCTGCTATGCCCCTCACAACGGAACGATCATGAAGCTTTCCGGGATTCGACAGCCTCAGGGGGACGCCAGTTGGTTCAACTATAGTGCCCCTGCCTGTGGAGTCAGCCTGACGAGACTCTCTGGCATGCCCCGGGTGCAGTCGAGCACCCGGCGTGTCGGAGCCAGTGATGCTGGCAAGCTGACGGCTTGAGGCGGCTCGGCCGAAGCGCTGGCCGAGAAACCCACGCTTGCTTGCGTGCATGCTCTCGGTATCACGTGCGCTTTCGTGCATATGCTCTCGATATCACGTGCGCTGCCTGAACATGTGCCGCGGTCGGTACTCAGCCGGACTGTCGCCGCGTGCAGGGCTTGCGGTGACTACCCGATGAAATGCCGTCGCTGAGGACCTGAGCCGACCGTCGTGGCCGGTGCGGTTGCCGCGGCTTGTGTAATCATAAAGCCAAGGAACCTGCCTGCGGTTTGATCAGCACCCTGGCTGCCTATGGCTGCCTCACAAAGGTCCCGCATCGCATATGCGTGCGCAGTGCTTCGCCGCCACACTTGCGCGCACCCGCCATCGTGATCATGGCACGGCGTCGTAAGCGAGCAGCTGTCGTTTCCGGGCGCCCTTCGTTGCCCCACTTGACGGCGTGCGTACGTGTGTTCAGGCGCCCACTTCGGACGCCTCGATCGGGCGGCTGCCTGTGGAAGCAGACTGTTTTCACTAAGTCTTCTTCGGGCACGACGTGAGAGGAATGTCATACCCCACTGCCAATTCCACCTCACCAGACGACAGCTCCTGATGTCTACACACGGAGATTTCATTGTAGGGCGACAGCGACACAGCAGAGCACCGAAGTGTGAACGCTCTTTGGGGATTTGTTGGGGGTAATTTCGGCCGGGATGTCATGAGTCAAGTGCGGAATCAATCCGGAAGGACCATGCCGCCCTTTCATGCCATTGTGTGCCTTGGTTGTCTGTGTCTGTGCCCACTTCTGGAGCTAGGGCTAGAGGGAGCCGCCCGGCGCGGTGCTGTGTTCCATCAGCTGGCAGACGATGGCCGGATTGCACAAGCCATCAACGAAATGCGGGCTGCAGCCGCGCACCAACACCGAAGCGGCCGAAGCCAAGTTGCCGGAAGTTTTCGCCCAAGCTACGTGGCGATGCGGCATCCTTGGTTCCGGTGCCCCAACCGCCCCAACCACATGTGCTCGGTGTCTCCTGCGTTCGCAGAAGCCTGGAGATGCTTTGGAGCCCTCGCCTTGCGAAGTGCGCTGCTGTCCACGCGGACCACGCGGGCGCTGCCGCAGGATCCGCAGGCTGCGCAGGCTGGAGGAATGGCTGGAGGAACGGCTGGAGGAACGGCTGGAGGAACGGCTGGAGCGCAGCTCGGGCGCTGGGTGGCCGGAGGAAGAAAGCGGCGCGGGTTACAGAGACCGCAGCACATGTAGCTCACACAGAGACGCCGCTGCTGCACCTTCCCGTCCTCGGCGGCGCTCGCCTGGATGCATTGGCACCGAAGCAGCACTTTCCATGCTCCCGCTTCCGGCTTCCGCCCTTCTGGCCATGCCGCTCGTCCCGGCTCCTCTTCTCTCTGAAGCTGTCAGCAAGGGTTCACTATCGGACCTCGTAGCGCGTCCTAGCCACCCTCGGCAGCTGTGAGTCATGTGAGTCTGGAGCGCCTGTGCCGGCCGAGCGAAGGCTTGCCTTACCCGGATCGGCGGAGAGTCGATAAAAGAAACAAGCTGCTTTAGACACTGCTCAAGTTCCGAATTGGTTGACATAGATTGCACGAGTACTGTTTTTTTCATGACGCGTCATACCCTTCCTGGTGTTGGCAAGAGTGATTTTGATGGCAAGTGAAGACCTTAGTGGCAAGCGACCGTTTCACGTGAATATACACATGTGTGTCCGTAGCGAGGGAAGACATGCTTGCCAACGCCGCGTGTCGACCTTTTGGCCCGAGTCGAGAGTTCATGGGATTATTCGGTTGAGGGCTACCTTAAGTAAGAGCCCAAAGCCTCTGTTTTGTAGGTTACCTAGGAATCGCACAAAACCCTACTTATCGGATATGCGCCGCGTTTTGAAAGCTGCTGCCCGCGCCATGTCTGGCCATTCCGGAGGACTGGTTATGGCACATGACTGCATATGTCTCTTACATCTGATACCCAAAACAGCTTCATATCTTCATGGCGCCAGAGGCCAGGGCAATGTTCAACCGATCTTGAAGCCTGAAGGCTCGACAGCACCCAGAGTTTAAACAATGGAGCGTCTCCAGGACCCGGGCTTCCAGCCTCGCGCCATTTGGCTGTCGAGGAGTGAAAGCCTCTCGGCGTTCTTCACCCTAAGCCCTAAACCCTAAACCCTGTTTCCCAGTGTTGAGGGATAGGTCCCGTCCGGCGACGAACCAGACATGGATATGTGCCAGCTCTGCACAGCTTGGGCACCAACTGAACCGTAGAACTGGGGACATATACCCTAGCTACTATCTCCCAAATTAAGGTGTATGATGGTGTATGAACCATTTGAACCATAACCCCTTCTACGGCGTATCCGCACCCCAAGATATTATGCAACAGCCAGGTTCTACTGAAGCATCCCATTTCTGCATTCCACGATGACAAAGAGTAAAGTCTGATTGATGTTTTTCGCAGCACTGATTCATGCGTTGGACTGTCACGGTACGACATGCATCTGACCCCTGCAGATGTAGACATCCGGAACTGCTCTTCCTGTCATGTAGCGATGTAGTTGGTGCTAAACTCTAAACCCTCAACCCTCAACCCTCAACCCTAAACCCTAAACCCTAAACCCTCAACCCTAAACCGTAACCCTAAACCCTGGGCCCTAAGCCCTAAAACCCTTTGGCCATGCTTGCTTGCTGCGTTGCGTGGCAGGAGCCTTGTCCCTTTGACCTGACGCGTGGCTTTCCGCTTGGCTTGGTGCAGAGCATCCTCACAGTCAGGTGGGCTCGAGGAGGCGTTGCGGAGGTGGAGGCGAGTGTTTGGTGTCTTGGTAGCCCAGTGGTAACCTTTTCCCCTTTTTTTGGGTTCAAGGTTCCCTTATAAATTCTCCAACCAAGAAAGTGTGCCCTGAATGTTAATATGGTTACTGGGGTACCAAGGTGTAGCAGGCGGATTCCTATTGAAGTGGCGGCTGACAGCCTGTAGAACCAACGGAGCCGGAGAGCCTGTGACCACATGAAGCCAGCCAGCTATGTTGGCTGTTGGGCCAGTTTAGGCTCAGACATTTCACTGTTCGTCCAGAATGCTCAGCTACATCTCCGCCCAAGCGTCAGCGTGTGCAGAGACCCCATTCCTCGAATCAACGTGAACATGCTGCAGCAGAACTGCGGTGGCACTTTGCGCCGGGAGTGGCATGGCATCTGTCTAACCTCATGACAGCTTCCTAAGAGCTCCCTGAGAACTCGAGCTCTCAGAGTCTAAGAGCTCGCGCTAGAGGCAAAGCACGCAAGCACCCAAAGCACGATCTTAGCACTTCGCTGCTGCCGAAGCCTCGTTGCACGCTGTGCGAGCGCTTAGAGAGCTTGGAATGGGCTGAAGGGTCCGCCTTTCGCTGCATCGGGGGGAATCTCATACGCGGGGTCGTGGGAGAAAGCGCTGACACAGGGTGTCTCGACACGGTCAGCAGGGCCCCACTCAACCATGAAGTTCCTGAGTCTCTACTCGTGCGAGCAGTGCGAGCGGCTCCTAGCCTGCGCAGTGCAAGATGCGACATGACGCAAGTCGGAGCACGAAGCAGGCGATGGCCATCAGAGGACGCACAACCGCTTGTCAATCCCTCGATGCAGTTCGCCAGCTCTCATTGCAGAGATGCTGCAGACCGTGCGCGAGCGAGGAGGCAAGGGATGTGAAGCCTGCTCCCATGTCCTCAGGCTTGTGTGATTGCCATGTCTGTGTGCTGGACCACCTTCGCATTGTCTTAAGTGCTGCTCGTCGCCGAGCGGGAAGGCTGCGTCCCGTCGTTGCTGTCCCCGTGACTGTAGTTTACATGAGTTTACGAGACGTAGCGTCCATGCTTCTAAGGCCCTTCATGAAGTGCGAGCCTGAGCCTCGAGTGCTTGTCCTGCTTTGAGAAGAGCCATGCAGGGCCAGAAAAGGCCATGATCGTCCCCGAGATCTGGCCCTGTGCTGACATCGTGCTGCTCGCCACGGCTGGGTGCCCAGGAGCTGCTTTGATGGTAGACACTATTTGCACATGCATGATCGACGCTCGTTGCAGAGCCATACGTATGGCGGCAGTGACAATCTGACCACCGGCGCCTCGGCGCGGCAGTGCGCGTCAAGTGCATTCGCAGGCAGACATGGATCGTTTTCATATGCTCTTCACTCGAGCGATGCTGTGCTACTTAACATTCGCGCCTCGGCTTTTGCAGGTTTTGCAGGGCTTTCTCTAGCTCAATGATAGCGAGCTGGCCCTAGATCCCCCCAACATGACCTTGAAAAGAAGATGCACGAGCTCACTTGATTTGTGCTCAATGAGAGGTCCTTCCAACTTTTCTAAGCACCCCAAAACCCTTCCCCGGCACTCGCCTGCCTCCATCCGGCGGCTCGTGTGTGGCTTCGGCGTGCGAATCGGAGGCTTCTTCGGTGGGCGATGCGGAGGCGGGACGCGGGAGAACGCCAATTTGAGGGTACAAGTGGCGAGGTTAAGTCGTATCTTTTTGCGTAAAGTCCTATCTTGGGCACGTGCACACTGTGGATTCGCGAATTCCAGGATTGGTCAGAGAACCCACTTGCACCCCAAGCAGAAATCTCATTCACGCTGACAAGAATGTGCTCGCCTCCCAGGCGTGCGGTGACAAGTGCGTATTTTGGATGTGCGTCCGGAACATGCGCGTGCGGCGTGTGCACATTGGGGGAACGGCTTCAACATATGTCTCTGTGATGCGATTTTACGTGGGGTGATGTGACTCCACTCGCAGCCGTGTGTCACTGCGGAGATGTAACTTCACACGCAAAGATGTGTGATTTGGCCCCTTGTAAAGTCCAGCGCCCGGAGGGATTTGAACTTTAGCCATTTCAGACCCAAAGCAGATTCAGGAAATTTGTGTGATTTGGAAGTCGGAAATAGCTCAATTCTTCATCCACCAGGCCCTAGGCAGTGTGTGCATGCCTACCCTAAGCCCTAAACCCTAAACCCTCAACCCTAAACACTGTTTGAAAGCTCCGCAAAAACAATTTTCTGCACAGGGGGTCAGCTGGGCAGGTTCGGAAGGGGGCGGGAAGCCGCAACCAATTCACAGGCAAGTTTCTTTGCTGGCAGGAAGACCAGAGCCCAAGAAGAATCCAAGGATTTCCAAGAAGTTCTGTAGATGTCTCCCTAAACCCTAAACCCTACACCCTAAACCCTAAACCCCAAACCCTAAACCCGAGAGAGGCGGGGGAAGGTTCCGGTGTGTGGGGAAGGAGGAGGCTTAGGGTTTCGAACTTAGAGGATGACGCATTTGACCAACCCTGACTGCAGGCCGCTTCTTCGACTTCCGGGGGTTTACAGGTACCCCTTTTCTACCCCCCCTAAACCCTAAACCCTAAACCCTAAACCCTAAACCCTAAACCCTAAACCCCAATAAAGGGACCCACCAAGTTATATCTTTCAGTGAAAAATGCAGAGTGGGTCTTCCTTTCAAGGAGGACTCTACCCTAAGCCATGAAAACCGAACTCGTTTTTCAACTTTGCGAGAGGGGGGCAGGGTCGCGCATTGGCTGAAAAGTAAAGCAAGCTCACCCAATGAGCAAAGGTTAGCCTAGATTCGTTCACCGAAATTTTATTCTGATGCAGCCAGTGCTCTGCTATGAGTCGCCTTGCAAGTGAACCAGCAACCGGGTGCGCGCATCGGCAAGGGAAGCCGGGTGCCATCATGCTTTGATTCTGGGATCTCATCAGGCGCCTCACTCCCGCGCAATCTTCATCTCGCCATGACCACCATGACACAGCACCTGACTAAACTCATGCACCGCTCCCGCTTCAAGAGGTGTCGGGGTGCCCTCTCCATTTGTGGCCTGCAGGCACACGAACAAAGTGAGTGAGCTAGTTCTTCAAGAGCTGTCTCAAGACGTTGCCCTGATGTCAACAGTTGAAGCCTAGGAGTCTAGATGTTCAGAGCACTCGCCCAGTGAACTGCTGCACGGTGGCATATGTGGGCGCTTGTCACATCTTGTCACCTCTTCCACTGCCATCAGAGGGTGGTTCTTAGCCTCCCAGATGCCGGCTCTTGGGATGTTGCTTCGAAGTGTTTTGGGTGCAATGGGTTCCGCGACCTCAGCGTGCCTTGGGGCCTCGAGGCCCAAGGTCGCCATACTCTCCTGCAGATCTTCCCGATGCTTTCCGGCTCGAAGGCTCTGCACCGTGCTGCCGTACCCTGTATAAAGATTCACAGGGGGCAGATGCCGCCCCCATGCAAGCAGTTCGTTGCCGAGGCACACCCGCGTTCAACTGCTGACAAAGCAGTGCCGAGCTGCAGGATTGAGCCCGCCAAAGCATCTCTCTTCGCATGAGCTGGGCCTTGGTTTCGCTGGCCCACCCTCGTCGCCCCTGAAGCCAGGATCGTGAAACAGCGGCTGCGCAAAAGAGGCCTGCGTTCCAGGTGGGCGAGTTGCTTTCGCAAACGAA